AAGCATTACAGCAAATAAGCGTGTTAAGCCCTCGTTTTAAAGGACTCTTCTCCCAAGTGGGTGGAGGGAGTCAGAGAGAGGCACTTAAAATTATTAGGAGTTAAGCCTGCTATTGTAGAGTTTTTTTAGAATGTTCTTGATGAATTTTGGATGCAGTCTTGTTCGAAAACATATTCATGATAAAGTGTTTTTCTGAAGATTGTTTTTCAGCAAGGGACGACAAAGCTCAGTGTAGAAAAGAACAAAACTTCTATTATAAGTGACATTGGTGTGCAGTTTTTCGACCCAAGGACTCAAAATATCTTATTCAGCACAGACTATGAAACTCATGAGTTTCGTTTGCCAAGTGGAGTGAAAAGTTTGAATGTTCAAAAAGCATCTACTGAAAGGGTATGATTTATTTTCCTTGGTTTTATTAATGGAAGAGAATTATTATCTAAAGTTACAAAGTGTGTGAGGTGGGGGGCAGGGGCAGCTGTACTGATAAAATGCTATGAATGAAGTGACTCCAGAGCAGCGGAAAGGATTAGTTCTAGATTTGTCACCAGCTAGTTTATGTGACCATTATCAAATCATCTCTCTTTATCTCTACATGTGTGAGATGTGAATTAAAACACTTGCTTTCGTATTTTGTCATTGAAACGCCTCCTCCTCTGTCTCTAATAATAATCCTCACTTTAATTTAGAAACTCTTCATCACTACTTTTTTTTTTTTAATCTTCAGATTACCAGCAATGCTACTAGTGATTTAAATATAAAAGTTGATGGGCGTGCTATTGTGCGTGGAAATGAAGGAGTATTCGTCATGGGCAAAACCATTGAATTTCGCATGGGTGGTAATATGGAGTTAAAGGCTGTGAGTATTTTTTGATTTTAAGAGAATTATTAGATTCTTGGGTACATAAGTCCTTATGTGGAAAAAGAGTTATGAAAAATGATAATGTAGTTGTATTTTTCGGACATGGAAAGATGTTCAAAATGGATTATGAAGTGAAAGAAAGTTATAGAACCATCTGTGAAATATCTCATCTTTATTTTTCAGATTATGTGTATGTTTATAGAAACCTAGAAGGGTATGCCAAAATGTCAACAATGGTTAGTTATGGGTAGCAGGGTAACAGATGATTTTCATTTTATTTCTGCTTGCCTGTTATTTTCTAAATTTTTTTTTTTTGCATAATGATGCCTGTGTTATTTTAAAAGGCAAACAAACAAACAAGCAAAAAGCTTCCAAAAGAGAATTCTCAGTATGCATGCCCTGAAGTTGATAGGGTTTTTTTCAGTTAAAGATTTTTCACATCTCTTCATGGGTTTTGTGTCTAGCGATGTGAAAATCAATTAGCAAATATATTAAATGTATTTTTAATTATACATCTATTATTAATTGTAAAGGAAAAAGATTTTGCCTTTATTATACCTGTTGAAAAGTAAACTTTTCTTTGTGCCTCACAGATTATATCTGAACTTTAATAAGTAACATATTTCATTTGAGGGAGCCATAAGTTCGAAAACATTTTACCTGCTCACAATTCTGGTCAAAGTATATTTATTCAAAATGTCTTTGGGCATCTGCTCTATGCTACCTAATTAAAGCTAATTAAATTTGTTCTACTAAGCATTAAATGACAAAAGTTAAACCTAAGGACTTATAAAATAGTTCTTTCCTTTTAAAAAATTTAATCATAGTTCTTGAAGGAAAAAACTTTAAAAAATTAAGTTCTTTCACTTGCATAAATATCTTTTCCCCCTGAAGAATATGTTCCAATCTCTAAATAATAAACACGAACATAAAATGTGATTCTTGCCAGAAACTCAATAGTAGTGCTGAGTATTGTTTGCATACATTGTAGAAAGAAGCCATTCCTTCAACATAATAGTGTTGAAGAATGGTCACAGTGGGGCTGTTGTTCTCTGCATCAGAAACTCAAAGCAGCAAGAGATGTGATTGATTTGTTTATAACCATTAGCAAGTCACCTAAATCTTTTAAGTTTTTCTACCTGAAAATTCTACCTGTTGTTAATATGACATACTTTGAAATACATATACACACATATCAGTTTCTCCACAGTTAGAAAAAAAATAAACCAGTATTGAAAAGATAATTAGCTTTATAATTCAGCTAATATCAGAGGTTAGTTTTTAAGTGTATGGCTAGTCATTAGAAAGAATTTTATCAATCAAACTGCTTTTTTAAAAAAACTGCTAAGACAAATATTATATCAGGTATATGTGGACTCTAAGAAACAGTACAAATGAATCTATATACAAAATAGAAACAGACTCACAGACATTAAAAACAAATTTATGGTTACCAAAGGGGAAAGGAAGGCAGGGAGGGATAAATTAGGAGAATGGGATTAACAGATACAAACTACTATATATAAAACAGATAAGCAACAAGAATTTAATAACCTATAATGGAAAATAACCTGAAAAAATATATATACGACTGAATCACCTTGATGTACACCTGAAACTAACACAATATTGTAAATTAACTATACTTCAATTAAAAAAAAAACAAAACACTACTTTAGCAGTTTAAAGAAAGTAAAATTACATAACCACAAGAGGGCAGCGTTGGAACAAAATTTGAAAATTCCATATACTATCACTACATAGTCAATTAGCCATTTCCATTACTTCATAATCAACTTTCGTTGCTTTAAATACCCTCTATAAGCTGATGACTCTCAACTTTGGAACTCCTTTCTCCTCTGAACTAAGTAAGATTCACATATCCAGCTGCCTTCTTACCTCTCCACTTCAATATCTAATAGGCACCTCAAACTCAACAAGTCTAAAGTCTTCATATCCTCCTTCCCTCCTCAAACATGCATTTTTTCAGTGTTCCCATCTTGTTAAATGGTACCCATTATTTCATCAGCAAAGCCTTTGGACTCTACCTTCAGAAGATGTACAGAGTCTGGCTGATTCTCACCACCACCACCATGGTGTAAACCAGCATCGTTTCCTGCCTGCACTGCTAGAATAGCCTCCAAAGTGGTCTCCCTGCTTCGTCTTTCACCCCTGTATTCAGTTCTCTGTACAGCAGCCAGAGCGATCCTTTTTAAAAGATCGTCACTTCTCTGTTCAGAACCTTCCAAATGGCTTCCCATCTGATTCAGAATAAAAGCCAAAGTCCATTCCCTGGCCTTATGTGTCTGGCCCCTAGTTATTTTTTTGACTCATCTCCTACCTACCAGTCGACTCCCTGTATATGTCCTTCAACCACTCTGGCCTCCTCTCTGTTCCTAGAACACAAGGCACATCCTCACCTTGGGGCCTTTGCATATGTGCTTTCCTCTGCCCAGTTACCCACATGCCCTAGTCCCTCATGTCATCCAGTTTCCATCAGACTGTGACCTTATCAGAGAGGCCTTCCCTGACCATCCTCTGGTCACTCTCTCTCCACTCACCCTGACTTGCTTTTCTCAGATGATGTCCTGTTTGTTTTACCTCTTTAGGTGTTTGTTGTCTGCCCCTCCCCAGTAAATGGGGACTTGGACTTTGCCTGTCTGTTGACTGCTGCATCCCCAGCACCTAGAATAGTATCTGACACATAGGAGACCTTTAATAATTATTTGTTGAATGAATGAAAAGGAGAAGGGAGAGAGAGGGTTAGGAGTTCCAGAAAAGAGAGGGTCTGCAATACAAGAATGTCCCTGGGATAGTGGGCTTGAAGAAGAGAACTTCCAGGCAGTTTTCTTTGAGTGCCTGGGCTTCAAAATTGCATGGTTTGAATCTTCATTTATGGTGTCACACAAAAACATTGGAAATTCAAATTACTTTTCTCTAGGAGAAAAACAGTCTTTTTCTTCTTAGCGTCAGAAATGTATCAATCAGCAACTTGGTTAAAACTCTCTTAGGAAATAATAAATGAAAATGATCTGAGGCTTTATCAGTATTCGTCTTACTGTGCACTTAGGAATTTTGATATAATTTTTAACTAATTGAGAAATAAATTGTGTTAACAAGTGTACTGATATACATTGTGAACCATCACTAAGAGGTCACTAGGTGAATTTTGATTGGTTTTGGGATTTCGTTGCTGTTGTTTCGGTCATGACTTTTTCTTGCTGCCTTCTATTCTTGCTAATATTTCAGTGAGTGTTGTTTATTAATCTTGTTCTCGCCCTACTTGTGGATGCAAACAAGCCATATATGAGTTTTCTCCTGATAGGAAAACAGCATCATCCTGAATGGAACTGTGGTGGTCAGCACAACCCGCCTCCCTACTTCCTCCAGCGGAGACCAGTTTGGTGGTGGTGACTGGGTGCGCTACAAGCTCTGTATGTGCGCTGACGGAACCCTCTTCAAAGTACAGGTGACGGGCCAGAACATGGGCTGCCAGACCTCAGACAACCCCTGTGGAGACACTCACTAGAAGAACCCGAGAGGGCGTCAGTAGGTTCAGATCGTGACTTGACTTTTTTTTTTTTCAGAGTAGGCATGCAAATCATGTTTTTACAGAGTTTGTGATAACTCGTAATTATTTTATCTGCAGAGCACTGCTGTATCCATTATATAGTCTCCATGTTTAAAATAGTCTCAGAGAGCCTGAATTCTAATACATTTCATTAAGTTGCACTGATCTTCAATTTACAGTTCTCTAAAACAATTAAGAGAAGTGAATACAATCAATATTAATCTTTAAAGAAGTGTTTTTAAAATGCCACTTTTCCTTGTCTAAAGGCTAAAGGTCTGAAGCAACCGTTTAGGCTCACTAAAGTAAGCTTTTGGTAACTAATGGGGACAGACCCACTTAAGATGTTTAAAGGTACACCATCAGTAAATGTTACCTGCTCTGTCTTTTGGCTTCTAAGAAGAAAGACAGATTTTTTTTTTTTTCTTTGCGGTACGCGGGCCTCTCACCGATGCGGCCTCTCCCGCTGCGGAGCACAGGCTCCGGACGCGCAGGCCCAGCGGCCATGGCTCACGGGCCCAGCCGCTCCGCGGCACGTGGGATCCCCCCGGACCGGGCACGAACCCACATCCCTGCATCGGCAGGCGGACTCTCAACCACTGCGCCACCAGGGAAGCCCGGAAAGACAGATTTTTAGTGCATTGACTTTCAGCCGTATTCTCACATGCAAGTGAGGTCATTAAAGAACTTCGCATATGGGAGTTAGTAAGAAACTATGGTTCCTCAGTTTTGCACTAGGAAGAAAATACTCTAATAGAATGTATACTCATTAAATATTGTGCTCGCAATGTGGTAGAAATTAAAGCACCATCTCAGCTTTAACTGTTAAATGATGATAGCTGTCATGTATTGAGCATCTTAGAGTGCTAGGCATTGTCCTAGGCACCGCACATGGAATGTCTCTAATTCACACCACAACTCTATAAGCAGGTGTTGTTATCCCAGTTTACCCATTAGGAAACTGAGGTTCAGAGAAGTTCAGAAACTTGCCTAATGTTACAGAGGAAATAGCAGAGTTGGGATTGGAGTTCAGGTGTGACTCAAACCTGGATGAGCCTGTTTCTAAATACCGCATTCTTTCCACTACCTGCGCTGGAGTTTTAATTATTTAAAACCCCGCAAAGATGAGCAAAGACTAATTCAGACTTACCTAGGCAGATAAGAAACGAAAAAACAGGTATGCTTACTCTAATTAAAAGGAAATAAATCAATCGCAGTCAAAAAACTGACCAATCACTGTCAGATTTTAAATTTTCTTAAGCCAATTCTAAAATATATTATAGAGAGATCAAATTGGCCTAGTTGTGGGTTACCCTCGTTTCCCGGCTGGGGTACCTGAATGGGTAAAAGGGTTGCCAGGATATGTATACCCTCAGCCCTCGGGGCAGCACAGTGGGAAATGAGGAGGCCGTGCCCCAGACGAGCCCTGCTGGCCCAGAATGGCTGGTGGATTTACCCCAGCAAGCCAGACAAGTGTTACCCTTTTTAATATGTGCCATACCTTGAAAAAAGTCAGGAAGCACTGGACTAAAGGGTACTAATGCAGGAAATAATATAAGTAATTTTCACGTAAGTATGAGACTGACCTCTGCTCCTGACATCACCACCCATTATAATGTTTTACAACCCTCAAGCCAGTTAATTTTTAAGGTGTTTTATATTTGACTTGAAAGGAACTCGCTGGTATTATTAAGATCCACACAACATCAGGAAGAGAGACCTCAAAGTAGTGTGCTGTAAAATAGGCAGAAGAGATAAATTACAGGCCCAGTTCTGCATTCAAGTATAATATTCTGTCCTTGCCAGTTTGAACTATATAGATAGGAAAATCGATACAAAAAAAAATTTGCATTCAGTATTGTCACAGTTCTCTCTGATAGAAAAACCAAATACTTTAGAGATTATGAGTAGTCATTAAAGTATACTAAAGTAGAGATTGACTTACTACCTACTACTGAGTGAAGTTTTTTTTTAAGTGAAGAAAAAAGAGAGAGAGTGAAATTTATGACCTCTGGTTGTTATTTGTTGTAGTGATATTCAGAACCCATATGAATATATTCAGTATCATTTAATATCTGAATAATGTTCAGAAAAAATCCATTGGAATATTCGTTCAGATGCTCAGTGTATTTGTAAATTTTACATTCATTACTTGTCTGCTCTAGATTTGTTTTGAAAGTTTGTTTAGATAAATATTTTTACAAAAACCACAGAACACTCTGTTACAAAGTATTATTTATTGAATGTAATTCATGAAATAATCTATTTTTACTCCTCTTTGAGAAATACTTGTTTTTGATACATCTCCATTAAGTGCTTTGGACATGAGAGAATATTTTGACGTTTTTACAGAACTGATTGTTAAGGTAACAGGTATAGTAATTTAGGACACGTCACAGGTAGCTTTTGTTTTTTCATTGAAATGTAGACCTGGGAAATTCCCTGGGAAGCAGAACAAGAACAAACTGTCCATTTTACCTGTGACCTGTTTAGCGTAACAGTAAAGCCTCAGCTACTCATTCTCACCATCAGATGCTATTTTTCTATAAACTGAATTGTTAACTTTGCCTCTTCTGCTGTCATTCCTCCCCTCCATCAAGCGCTGATATGACAAGCAACAGACTTGGGGGAGGTAGAGGACAAAGGCAGCATCCCCGGAGATGGGGCAGACACATGCTTGTTTAAATAACTACAGTCCTTCAGAGGTGGATTATAATGACATGGGGGACAAATGAAATGAAAGCAAGGTATTTTAGGGACTCTCTAATGGGCAGGTAGGAAGAATGCAAAAACTATACACAGTAGGGACTGTATGTGTGCTCTGTAATATTTAAAGATATACTTATTTGTATTCTTTTTGCATTGAAAAAACAAATTGTGTGTGAGATAGTTTTGAATGAAAAGTGGAAGTTCTACGTGATAGTTTTGAATGAAAAGTGGAAGTTCTACCTAGTTTTTGAGTGAGTTTTTTTAAAGATCATGAGAATGTTACGGTGCTAAACTTGACAAAAAAAACCAGAACATTGAAATGCTGATAATTTTAGTAATCTTTTTTAAAGCACTGAGGGGGCAAAGATTACAAATTATGCCATAGAAAAATAAACCTATAAATGTGTCAAGTTACCAATTTGACTTTCAGTTGATTCAGTTTGTAATAACTATTAATGACCTCTGTTTACAATAAAGATTCTGTAAAATTGTTTGCTGTTAATTTTTTAATTGTTAAAATATTAGCAGGTTTCTACTTACTCATATAAATGTGCTGAATGTAAATACAGCTTGAGAATTGGACGCCGCCAGTATTTATGTAATCTCTCTGGAATCCTGGAGCTCAGAGTTAGAAGTTGTACAGACCCAGTCTGGAAACTCCTACCCTCTGCATTGCAGAAGGCCTCGCTCTGTTGGCTTTTCCCCCAGTATCCCAGGGGAATGTGCACCGCTGTCTGTTGCTGTCCCCTCTGCAAGAGGCCAGAGCTTGGAGATGAAAGGGTTGAAGGTTTGCCACAGGGCAGGCTCCAGGGCAGATGGGTGGAGCCTCAAAGGCTCAAGTCTAAAATCCCCACCTGGCTTGATTCAGAGAGAGATCCATTTGAAAAATCCCTAAGGACCAAAGGTATGCCTTAGAAACAGTGTTACTGTTGTGTTCTTTCTACATCTTAGCAAAACTAGCCTCTCCTGCTTTTTTTCTTCTAACTATTGTAACTTCTCTTTCTTTTATATAGGAATGAACTCTTCATTTCCTTTCTACTTTGTTTTTTCTACTTCCTTCTCCCTGTCTCACTGTCTGACACACCCAGTATTTCTGCTTCCTCATACTTCAGCTTGAATATGTCCATTTAAAGATTTACATTCCACGTAATTGTCTCCAATATCCTCAGAAAATTTTTCTAGAGTTCTCAGGTGTTCCTTACCTAATACATATAAGTTTGTTTTATATATATATAATATTTTTTTAAATTTACAAACGCATACCTTTCACTTTATGCCGTAAGATTATCCTTATCCAGCTGTTTTGAACTCAAAACTGTTAGTTATAGATAAATCTCTTCAACTTGGAAAGAATCAGGTCAGTGAAAGTCTTACTTAAGTCCCCTTAAGAAGAAGTTTTTTCCAACCATGTTTCTCTTCAGTATTGTAGTGTGCCTATGAATGATGAATCTTTTTTTGTTGCTGACGTTGTTACATTAGCTTGCTATATAATTACATATGTAATGATTGCAGCTTTGAATATGGTAACAAATATCTTTCTGACTCTACAAATTAATTGAATTTCTGGTATTGCATAAGAGGCACACTTTAAAAATAAATCACTCCTCCATGCTGTAGGGCACCTTTGCAGTTCATAGCCATGTGCACTGGAACTTAGATGCCTTTCAAAATATGGCAGATTTGACCTTGTATGAAACCAAAGTTTAAAAAGTTACATGGTAAATTGAATTTCTGGTATTGCACAAGAGGCACACTTTAAAAATAAATCACTCCTCCATGCTGTAGGGCACCTTTGCAGTTCATAGCCACGTGTACCCGAACTTAGATGCCCTTCAAAATATGGCAGATTTGACCTTGTATGAAACCAAAGTTTAAAAAGTTACATGGTAAATTGAATTTCTGGTATTGCACAAGAGGCACACTTTAAAAATAAATCACTCCTCCATGCTGTAGGGCACCTTTGCAGTTCATAGCCATGTGCACTGGAACTTAGATGCCTTTCAAAATATGGCAGATTTGACCTTGTATGAAACCAAAGTTTAAAAAGTTACATGGTAAATTTCATCCATTGCATGCATTCATTTACCCAAGCAGAGCATAACCCTATGACAGACTGCAGACTATTAAAAATATAAAACATGGGGGAAAATATATAGATACATAGATGAGATAAATAGATGATAGGTAGGTAGATAATACAGATATAGCCCTATATATAGATATATAGATAGCATAGTCCTATGACAGACTAAAGACTATTAAAAATATAAAACATGGGGGGAAGTTATATATATATGTATGTATGTATGAAAACATGGCCCTTACCATCTGGGAGCTTATAGTCTTTTGGGCTGTTGAAAACAGACACAATGCAAAGCAATAGCCATACAGGACAGTACTGATATTCTGTCAAACTGAATGTTACTAACATGCATTCATTCATTCAATAAATATTTACTGAAAGATTTCTGAACAAAATAGAGGCCAAAGCAGGAAGAAGGGTCTTCAGGTCATAGGATTTGTGATGGATCTGGAAGGACATATGTAGGATTTGGACTGAGGAGAGGAAAAGGCATTGGGCTTGGAATTGGAGTGAAGTAAAAGCTAATTTTTGCATGAGATCTACATATATACCGAGGTGCACAAGCCCCATCTTGTAGTTGCTCCACATGTACTTTTAAAACTAGTTCATGAACTTAGGTAAATAATACAAAGCCTGGGATGCCAACCTGAGGGATTTGGACTGTAGGCACTGCAGAGCCCTTTAAGGATTCTGAATGAGGATATGATATGGGAAAACAGTACTATGGGGAAGCAATCCTTTGGAATTTCATTGGATGAAGCAAGAAGGAAAATTGAAAGGCAGTGACAGGAAAACCAGTTAGCCCGTTCTAGTATTGCAGATTAGTGATGAGAACTAGAGTGGTGCCATTTGCCATTGGAACAGAACAGAAGGGACAATTTGCTGTAAACCTACGTGCCAAGTAATGTGGTTATTTGTACACACACTGATTTTTTAATGGAATTTAGTAATTAAAACAAATAACAAAAAAGTTATTCATCTACTCTTTTGTTGTTTTTTATTGGAGTATAATTGCTTTACAATGGTGTGCTAGTTTCTGCTTTATAACAAAGTGAATCAATTATACATATACATACGTTCCCATATGTCTTCCCTCTTGCGTCTCCCTCCCTCCCACCATCCCTATCCCACCCCTCCTCATCTACTCTTAAAATTGTTTTTTGTGCATACATTCAGGCATTGTGATTTGTAGATACTTGTTTTAAAGCTTTCAATTGCTTCTCAAGAATCTTTGGGGAAAAAGATACTTGAGTTTCTGTATCTAATTATATCTTCATGGGTCCTAGGGAGAGCATCCTTTTTATAACCCATTTTTTTTTAACGTAGATATCTAAATGGTTTCAAGTGGATTTGAAAAGCCACAAAAGCCGCAAAGACAAAGCTTGTAGTTCTTCTAATCATTAAAAAAAATCGAGTCTCTTTCATGAGTTGAACTTTCCACCGATACAGTTCCACGGTTTGGTGTAACTGTATGGCTTGTCACTCATGTGATAAAGCACATGGCTGATTACCGTGCTGTAAAATAAGGATAATAGACTTTGCTCGGTACTGAAGACCAGGAAGGAAGCAGAGAAGTTTTTAATCTTGGTAGGTTTCCCTCATTCCAAAGCAGACTGCAGGGTGAGTAATCCTGGAAGAGCAGACACAGGTGAGGCCCAAGTGAGTACACATTTTCTGACAAATCAGGAGGGGTTCTTTCTTTAAAACTGTGGCATAAATGTAATTTTACACTATAGCTGTTTACCATTTTGGTAGCTACATTTTGCCCCACTGTCTAAGAAATCAAACATCCGTGTAAATTGGCAATCAAGGCAAGATAACTTTCCTGAATCTTAAATTGAAAATTAAAATTTCTGCTTATTTGCTATTAGTTTTTACATAAGTTATTTTGAATAAGTCAATTTTTCTTTCTCCAGGCATTATGAAAAACCTACGTCTCAGAGTCGTTACCATGGTTATAGGTCTTTATTTTACTGACACAATGACAAACCCATCAAGAAAAAGCAGTATTTTATTCAATTCCGAGTGCCAATGGAACGGATATCTTCTGACAAATTGTTCTTTTGCCGGAAAGCATGAAATACCTGTGGACATATCACAGATAGCAGCCATAGTGGATGTAAGTTCCAGTTTCTTTAGGGTTCTCTTACAAACTCACAGGAAAAAAGAAGAATGGAATATAAGACACCTGGACCTCAGTAACAATCTCATATCGAAAATAACCTTAAGCTCTCTTGCACATTTTCATGCTTTGGAAATATTAAACCTCAGCAACAACGCCATTCACTCCGTGTCATTGGATCTACTCAGTTTTAAGTCCTTGTGGGTGAAACGCCACAGAGGCAGCTTGAGAAATGGGCTTCCGTTTCTAAAGTTGCTCATTCTTCAAAGAAATAAACTCAGTGACATTCCCAAGGGTAAGTACAACTTTAAAAGATGGACTAGACCGAGAAACAATGAGTATGTGGAGAGCTAATGTTTTATGTCAATAAGAATTCCAGGTTTGTTTTCAGTTTCAAGGAAAGAGCTGAAAGTAAAGCAGTTGGATCAGAGCAAATGTAATAAAAGGAGTTTCTTAGTGGAATTTTAAGTTATAATATGTGGAATTTAAAGTCAATGTAATTTGATCTCCCATTGCTATAACTTACATTAATCTTATATGGATTTGTCAAGAGATACTAGGAAGTATTTAAGTACTAAATAATGTGTGATTTTAAATTACCTACTTTGATTTATGTATTTTTTTTTACTAATTACAGAAAAGCACTGAGAAATAAGTAGTTCAGATACTTTTAATATGTAACAATGCAAATTAAGTGTTGCCATATTTATAATTTTTATTTTTACAGAATACATTTTACATCTTCTTATCTGGTTTTCCTCCAAATGTAGACTACACATATGCTAATATTATATATAAACTTCCTTATTATCAAATCAAAGTAGGACTCCTTATCAGAACTCCACATACCCTCCTATTATAATAAATTCTCATCCATTCCAACACTCAATAATCTACATTTTGGAGTTCCTTAAGTAATCCACCAATGTTTTATTTAGAAAATGTATCAGATTCATAAGCCAGAGCTTCCTTTTTATATTCAGGAGTGCTAGACAGTTTCCTTTCCCTGTCTATTTTCAGTCTTGGTCACTCTTTGCTAAGTACTTACTTTATATAAGATCTTATGCTAAAAATAGAAAGTGTAAGGATTTTGTCATTTTTCTCCATCTCAAATTATGCATATTTAGTTTTTCTCATTTTCAGTTCTTTCATTTCATGCTTTTATTTTTTTGTTTTTTCATTTATTTTTTGCTCTTTCTCCAGTATCTTGTTTTAAGCATAATTTTGACTATAATAGCCTGGCAGGTGAAGGGACTACTATTTCAGTCACCACAGCAGCAGAATTGTGTGAGAAGGACAGGAGTCTTCTCTCCCTGAACTTTCCCGTAAAAGCAGTGTATAGTATTTTCAGTGCAAAGTGTAAACTAATTGCGTTTTATTTTATGATTTTTATCATATTGTTCTTATTACAAAAGGAATGCCTGTTTTTTGTAAAACATTAGGAATTAAAGAAAAATGTAAAGGGAAACATTAAAGTCCCTCATGTAATATGTATTCTTCAAGTTTATTCTTTATGCCTACATATATATTTTCTTTCAAAATTGGATTTACTGTCCATAATATTTCATAACATAATTTTATATCACAGAATATTTTGAACATCTTTACATAATTAAGCAATCTCATAAATAATATTTTAAATAGTTGAATAATTTTAATATATTATAATCTGTTCAATCAAACAACATTTAGATTATTTCCATTTTGTTTGCTATAACTCTGACGAACATCATTAAAGCTACACATATCCACATGATATAACTGTGTTTTCTAACTAGTATGGTAGATGTGAATCTCAACCCACAAATTCAAGTGTACTAGAGATATAACCTTCTACTGTTTATAACTCAGCACAGTTTCTGATTCTGAGCCCCCATTTTGCTAGCATCAGTTGTGGTGGGATGTACGGGTACTTACACTTAACATCAGTTTTTCATGGGCTTTCCTTTATCTTTTCCTAGATTTATACCGCAGCTCTAGAATCTTATACCCTGACAAGGCATCAAAGTGTGTGTGTGTGTGTGTGTGTGTGTGTGTGTGTGTGTGTGTGTGTGTG